AAAATTACAAAAGATGAAATTTTAGTGTGAAGCTTTTATGAGCTTACCTTGAAAAGTGTAATATTTCGACATATGGTTATGGCGTGGATAATATGATGGTTTTTATCAACCCCCTGATATAAGTAATTGATCTTGGATATTATTCTATTAGCACAATCAAAAGGTTAATAGAAATCTCCGTGTAAAATGGTTCAATCCATTTCTCACCTATCTAATTAGATGTTTCTTATGAGAGGAACAATCATATTATTGCAGTTATCACTAGTGCTCATAAGTTTATATATCAAAAATTAGTTAAGGACTACATGAAATGATGTATCTAACTTGAGAATGAACTGGGCTTGAAAATTTCCGAAATTCTTTCATGTTGTTTAAGATGACTTTCTTCTATAAAGAATCGTTCGTTTTGCTGCTTCCTTTCTAGTGACTATTCGATTTCTTTTTGAATGATATTGCTTTAATTATTTGTCTTTTAGAACTGTTAGCCCTTTTAAGATTTTAGAGAGTATATTCAAATAAGATATGATATATTCATAAAATATTTACAATTGCAAAAACAATATGGCACCATTTTATCAAATTCTTAGGTACTGCCAAATATAAGAATAGTGTGTCTAATTTATTTTTGGATGCTTACCAATTAGAAATAATCGGGTACCAACAAAAGAAAGCGACTTTCCTCCGTAATACGACTTATGTTCCCTTTTCTATTAATCATCACTTCAAGAAATTAAAAGTTCTTTACTCTTTCATTTCATTTCCTATCATATCTCATCCTTTTTTATCCAAATCCACTCGAGCTAACATACTTAGATTTTCCATAAATTAACCTTAAAAGTCTTTGCTTCTAAAAAAAACTTGACACATTCACATATGAAGAAATTACGACATCATTCACACAAGCAAGAATCTTACGCGAATAAACAGAGTGCAATATTTGTCCAAACATCTATCTTCCAATCATAAGCTATTCTAATATGGTGGGCATTTTCAAAAAGTAAGTTGAAATAGAGCCTTGGTTGGCATTATAATTAAAAGTAGACTTTTGCCCACTTATTCTCAAGATAGATTTACATCCAATCATAATTTTTTCTCAATTGGTTTGTACATTGTTACAAGAGCTGCCGGTAAACCCCTTATTGGATGTATAATTTTGCAAACCTGCAGGCAGTCCTGAAACTTATATTTAGTTATATAGGTATAAATGTGTATCTTGAGATAGATGCATAAAAATTTGGGCCGAAAACTCTAGCCCTGACTGAACAGTACCTTAAAACTTCTCTATAAAATTGTGCAAATTAATATAGTGAAAATTATAGTAATATCCCCTTCCTCATTATATATAGTTGGATATACTACAATTAATGTACTATTGTTCAAATTATTGCCCCAACATAGTCTGGCACCACCAACTCTTCTTTCTCTTTAGTAAACTTAATTTTTGCGACCTTATACAGTACTATAAAAATATTTGGATAATTTAAATGCTTGTTGCTTGCACAAAAACAAGATGTTTCTTGAATAATTCATGTGATTAATGTTGAAGTTTTTTGGCAACTTATGCAATCACTGCTGATTCATTAGGAGGCTGTTAAGTATTCAACTCAAAAATGTGCTGCCGTTTATTGCAAGATTCAGTAGCTAGCATATATTCACTTTGATCCTGCTGTATAAATCTTCCTATATGTTAGAACTATTGAAATTGCTGCCCATCTCGCTTGCCATATAGGATGTTTGGATTTGCAAAGATCCTTGCATTCCAAAATGTCTCAATTCTCTTTGCATTAAAGCTTGTTCAATATAACATGCATGCAAATTGCTTTGATGACTTTAAAACAACACAATTTTGTCAAATAGTCAAATGTTAGATGAGTTTAATTTGATATAAGGCTGCTTACAGACCAAGAGCAATTTCCCTGCAACCTTGGTGAGGATATTTTCCTAAAATTCTCTCATCAAGTAATATCTCTTCATAGAAGCAGAGCTTTTCTTCAGAATAAGTTACGATACATCCCAAATCTCAATATTCAAAGTTATCAGATTACCTTCTTTCACCTTATGGAATTTTCAAATATTAATTGGACAACCTTCCTAAACTCACAATGATTAAAATACAGTCCACATTATTTAACAATCTATTCCTTTTAAGTCTCTTTGAAGAGGCGTAAATGGATCACAAATTCAAATGTAAGATAGCAATAATCTATAAAAATATGATAATTCAGCTTGGCTTTTATTTTTTGATAACAAATAGAAAATTTATCCTTATTTCTTTTTAAAGAGAGAATAATTAGATATTCTAATAAAAGAATTAAATCAAAAATCTCAAAAGGTAAATTTTAATTTCCACTAAAATTAACAGAAGGAAGACTTCTCCGTATTTATTGAGAACCAGACTACTTAATTTTTAAAAGTAATAGATTTGAATAATTATTTTTTGTTGCAATATTATAATGGGAATTATTTTAAAGGTTACTTTTATATTTTAATGTTTTATTAAAATAGAGAAAAATTGTTTGGTCTATCAATCTTAATAAAATTGATGTTTTTTTAGAGAAACTTAGCAAGAAACTTTAGGTGACTTTTTTTGAAATTAATATTCATAGTTTATTTTACAATTCTAATGTAAAAATTGAATTAAACAATAAATTTAAAGATCTCAAGATTATTAATGTTAATAAACCTTAAATTAGATTTAATTTTACCCTAATTGTTAGATTATATATCTGAGGATATTAAACAATCCTATTAATAATAATGTCACTTTTAGGTTACAGCAAAAATACATACATTATTTTGTAGAGCAATCATTTACATCGATTATAAATAGGCCTGGCTTCAACTCTAGATTGGATAGACTTTGATCAAAAATGTGACAAAATTCCTGAAGTAAATGTTAAATAGTAGAGAGTGTTAAGTATTCATAAATATTAAGACAATAAGGAATAACAATGAAAATTTAAATGTTGAAATGGTAAATAATAATGCAATTTCCAAAGTGAAGAACTCATGAGCTTTCTGATCAATATAATAGAG